TTTCTGCTTATAAATGGGCAACCTATTCCCTTACTATCAAAAACACAGAAAAAGTAGTTAATAATCCATTGTGCTTTTTAAATTATGTATCCCAAACCTATCAAGTTATCAACACTTGCATTATAATGTAGATATACAAAAAATGCTTTATCCTAAATGCAGAACAAACAGACCTATTTTGAAAGTTGTATCAGATGATATTTTGATTATTAGTGCCATTGGGAGCAATGGGAACATAAAACAATTGCTCCTTTGGACAACCAATCCCTTTAGTTGTGTATTCATTATAAGTAATAGATTCTTACTTAAATCTGCCATGCTGTGCTGAAGAGCATGCAGACAGCCAATAACATAACTAAACTGTAAGTCAAAATCTGTGGAAATAGATGGGGACTTGACAGCTTGGCAATTTATTAAGTATATGGGAGGCATATCAATGAGATAACAGCTTTGTCTCATGATATAGGTAGTCTTCAATTTACAACATCATTTAGTGATTGGTCGAAGTTACAACAGCCCTTTAAAAAGTAACTTTCACATTTATGAATGTTGTAGCATCCCCGTGGTCACCTGATCAAAATGCGACCTTTTGATAAGCAAAGTCAATGGGGAAACTGGATTAACCATGTTTCTAACTTAACAACTGCAATGATTCACTTAAAATGTGGCAAGAAGTCATAAATGGGGCAAAACTCACTTAACATAAATGTTGAGCTCAATTATGGTTGCAAGTTGAGGACTGCCTGTAGTTAAGATTTAATTATGCATTATGCAAACTTTTTCTAAAATATATATTTTATTTGTATTATTCAACAGGAATCAACAAAGGCAGAAAATGTATTTCCATTACTTAATCTGGCTTTGGTTTGCTCTTTCACACAGTGATTCTAAAATCTACGAAGCCTGCAAGGAAATCTGTTTCTGCAAAGTGGGGACAATGTTTGTGAACTGTTCAGGAGTCCATGCTCTGGTATTCAATCTAACGTTCCCTTCTGATGCAGAACACTTGGACCTTTCTCAAAACAACTTGTATTCAATTCCTTGGAAATCTATAAGTTCCCTGTGGAAGTTGCAGGTTCTCCTTTTGAGCAGCAACTCCATTCACAAAGTTGGAGAAAATACATTCATTTCGTTGGGCAGGCTGCACAAGCTTGATATTGGTAGAAATGATATCTCATTTCTTGGCAACAGTTTTTCAGTGGGTCTTATTTCTCTCCATGAACTTATTTTGGCCTACAATAAACTGCAGGAGCTACAGTACAAGAGCTTTAAGTACTTTGAAAATCTTCAGAAGCTGAATTTGCAAAATAACAACATTTCCTCCATAGAACTGGGGACTTTCCGCAGTCTTACTCGGTTGAGGCAACTTTACCTTCAGAACAATTGCCTTCATGCCCTACCTAATAGATTATTTTCTATGTTGCAACACTTAGAGATCTTGAACTTAGAGGGTAATATGATAAAACTTATTGCTCCTGGAGCCTTTATTCCATTAAGCCACCTTACAATACTTAATTTGATCCACAATAAAATTGAGCATATTAAATTCAAAACTTTATTATCTTTGCAAACCCCTGGAACTCACATCTTACTCTCAGACAATCCCTGGTTCTGTGACTGTGATCTTCAGAGAGTGTTTGCAAAACTGCACAGTGTCAGGAGACTGATCTTGGATGATTACTATAACGTGACATGCATGGAGCCCCATCTCTTGAGAAACCTGCCTCTATCAGCTGTAGATACGGAGCTTTGTATTGCTGAGACAGTGACTGTTCTTGTCATAACCTTTACCGTTTTTGTAACTGTGGTAGCTGCCATTGTAATGGCTGAAAGGAACAGGAAGAAAAGGGCTGAGAAACGCTGGAATGAGGATAGTGACATTTCTTACAATGCTCAAAACTGATTAAATATTTGGCAATAGGAAACTCTACGCTTGAAAATGCTACTTAATTTAGCTATATAAATTAGAACCATTTTCAGACATGCAATTCTGAATGTATGAAGAGAATGTGTGTGTCTGTCTCCCTCTTAATTATATCCTGTTCATGGGGGGTGGCAATAATCTGGACTTTAAATGTGTTCTTAGGAGTTCTGACTAAGAGTTCTTGTCCACATTGCAATCTTCATACATTGAAGCCAACCTCTTCAGGTATAAGTACAGCAACCATACTGGCAGCCACGGGGTGACTAGTGTTGCTAATGCTGTGACTAATATAGAGCTACTAAGAGGATGGAATAGACAGGTACATTTCTTCAGGAACCTAGATCCATTACGTGGTCAAATTAAACATGAAACAACAGAATCCATTTTTATAATAAGAGACAGAAATGTAATGATTGCAGCATTATTAGCCAGTTTTTGTCTGTTCCAAATAAAAAGTAAATGTTTTTCTCTCTTCACATTAGTTTCTGGAAAAGATCTGAGACATTCAATTTAAATAGTAATATTTTAAAAACTTTTCAATCTTAAAGAACTTTTGAGATATACATCTGTACACATGAGCAATTAAATATTCTTAAGTAATAAATTGTGTGTGTGTGTATAGAGAGAGGGACAAATTGTGTTTCCAAGTACATCAATAATGAGTTTGTAGGCCAAGGAACTAGTATTTTGTAGACTACTCATTTCAAGGCTTTGTGGTGGTTCTGGCCGATGGTGAGGGATGGATGGTAGGCAGGGGCAAGATAGATTTACTAAAGAAACAGTTTTTTCCTTCAGTAAATTATTATATGTATTATTAGAAAGATTTAAAAAAATAAAGAAAAAAGGGAAACTGGGGAGAGTATTAACCTGATTAATATTTGAATAGGAAGCTGCTTGGCTACCAGATCTAAGTTGAAAAAAAAAATCAGAAAAAGAAATGACAGTATAGAAAAATCCTGTGTTCTAGGGATTATCCTAGAGCAGGCCTGTCAAACTGACAGCCACCCATCCCGGCTCCGCAAAGGCAAAAAACATCCTGATACGTCACAATATGGCCAGTGATGCGATTGGGTTCAATACCACTATCCTACCTAGAGATATTTGAGGGCCAGATTTGGTTAGCTCTGTGTCAAAGATTTTCAAACTGTGAGTCATGATTCCAGGGGATGGGACACATTTTTTAAAAAAGAATTGTTTGCTTATATTGTTTGTCCACAGTGATAGTACTATCAAAACTTGCTCCTGCTTTATTTAGGCAGTAGCAGCCTTGTGCAAGCAACACAGGGAGTGAAGTTCAAAAGTGCCAGTCATCAAACTCAGCTGGTAAGTTCTGATTGTGGCTTTTAGAAGTATCTGTATATCTAATTTTTTTTTTCAAAAAAATTTATTGCTGTCTTAGAAACCAAGAGACTGACAGTTCTAATCCTGCCTAAGGCATGAAGGTTAGCTGGGTGATCTTGGGTCAGTCACTCTCTCCCGGCCCATCACACCTCACAGGGTTGTTGTGAGGATAATAGGAGCAGGAAGGATGTATTTTGTATTTTGTGGATAAATGACCAGCAAAGTAACATATGTAGTCTCCATAGCACACATAGGACGAAGTTTAGAATTTTGTTTAAATTCTAGTTTTTAAAATGGGGAAAAAATTAAAGATGATTATTAAAACAGCTTAAGTCTGGAACCATGATGACAGTTTTAGTAAACGGTGCCTTTTTTGCAGAATTCTAACCTCAACAAAACAGTTTTATTAATGTAGAAGATTAAACAAATTCATTTATCTGTTTTAGGGAGTTATAATAATATAAATTTTGAGAAGCCTAGACTAGAACATCGAGACAAGAAATCCTGGAAGGGGCTCCTTCCAGATAAATGATTTAATACAGGAAAGTTACCCTCAAGTTGAACTCTGGTCCAAAAACGCAACAGCATGTTGGAAAGAAACTGTATAAAGGTGTTGAAAGAAATAGCCTTCTGGGTTCAGTTCCAAGTGGGGAAAAAGACACTGGAAATATGGAGGCTGTTAGGAAAGATGGTTTCATGGTGGACAGCAGGACCACATGGCTTGAAGCTCCAAAGTGAAAAGGATGGATGATCACATGCTTCAAGGTGAGAAGAGAAGGTCAAGAAAAGACTGATATGCTGAGAGTGCCTGGGTTTTATAACCTCTGTTGGGATTTGAATTTGAGCTTGTATTCTGGTTGGTTGTCAGATTCCCATGGGGCCATGCAGGGGCAGCTCTGTAGGCTGTCCTGAGTTCCAGGCTTGATTGAGCCTTGCTGGATGATGCACTGAAAGGGCTTTGGCCAATTGCTATAGTTTTACCTGGAGATCTTTGTTATGTAAAGTATTCTGGCCCAGGCCTTAATGGCCCACCCATTAACAAAGGTGGGGGTGAGTTTCTGCTTCTGAGATGAGTTTCTGCTTCTGAGGTGAGTTTCTGCTTTTGAGTTGAGTTTCTGCTTTTGGGTTTCTACTCTTTTTAGGGGAAATATTCTGCCTTTTTAATATTTCCTAAGATATTTCAATTTTCTGGGGGAGGGGTGGATGCTAACTTCCTACAAAGGGTCTCGTATAATTGAGAGAAACATCAATAAAAAAAACCCCTCGAATTCACCTCTTGTGAAAGAAGAGGTTAATACTGCCGGGGAGACTGATCCACTGGTGATTCATCCCAGAACATGCCTAACCCTCTTGCAGCTTTACGTTGCAGTATTTTGCCACCGCTAGCAAAGGGGCAGGAATTAATTCGGCTCAACCCGACGAGAGCGCGACTTCGTGAATATGCATCCAATGTCACTTCTTTCGTTCATAAACCAGAGCAGGAACCGAATTACTAAGCCGACTTTTCTCAACGACACTAAACTGAAGGGGTCCAGGCAGAACGGGGTTTCCTTTTCCCGACTGCCTCTGTCCTGTTCCGAAAGGAAAGGCAAGCCTCTTCGGGACTTTCCCCGGGTCCTGGCGGTGGGGGGGGGAATCGAAGTGGGAGGGGGCTTCGTTGTACCCCTGCCTCCGCGCACATGGACGCCTGGGCGGGCAGAGGTTCCCCTCGAAGTACCTGCCTTTTCGGCAGCAGCGGCATCTCAGCGGGCGGCAAGAGCCATGGCGGCGCTTCCTACGGGATCCATATGACCCTCGGGTTTGAGAGTGGATGGGCTTCGGCTAAATAAAAAGGTTATATTCTTCTGGCCCCGGCCCTGACCATGCACTTCATTATTACCTCACTCGATCCATAGGAGGAGAGAGATTTTTGCCTGTGTTTTGGTCCAAAGCTACCATTTTATGCAAGCCCGCTAATCAAGACCGTCGCTGGGTTGGCAGTGGGACCCAGGAAAAGCTCCCCTTATGCGGTACTGCCATTTAACGATCGTCAGGATTTCTGCAATCCAGGATACAGATATTCCTACAGCACTCTGATTGCTCTTCCAAAGCAGGGACGCGGCTTTACTCCGTAGCAAGGAGATTTCGCCCCAGAAGCAAAGAGACTGTTATTGTCGTTGCTCCGGGATAGCAAGGCGCCGCCTCCTTTCATCAAAACAAAACGCCAAAGGCCGCCTGCCGCTTCGGGCCTTGCGAATCCGAAGCGGCGGAAACGTCGCGTGTTACGCGGCGACTGGGCAGAAATTGCCGCTCTATTTCTCCCGCTTGCCGGGTTGCTGCCGCCCCTGCCGGAGCGGCTGGAATGCTGGAGGTACGTTTGGACCAGGCGCTGCTCCTGCAGGAGACCGCAGGGAGGAGACAGCGGGACGGCCTCATCCTTTCTCCCGCTTGAGCTCTCCGGCAACCCAAGCGAGTTCCTGGTGCGGCCGAGCTTGTGTTTGTGTGTGCGGGCTCGTGTTGGCCTGGACTCCCTCAGCGGTCGTCCTCTCCCCCTCTTCCCCCCCACCCCCCATTTTAGAAATAGTTGGCAGTTATTACCACAGAAGTTGATTCACACGTATAGGTCCTTTTGTGAGCCACACAAGTTGAGTATTATGTTCAGTTTTGAACTTTTCCTTGAGAGGCTCGAAAGTTGCAAATTTTGCAACCGTTCCTTGAGAGGCCTCGGCAGCCTGGCTGTTCTTAGTGTTTACATGTGGCACTGAACTTCGTGTTGGTGGGGCGAGAAATTCAAAACGGACCAAATGTGAATGGTGGCTGTTGTAGAGCGGCGGAATAACCTGAGGCAAACGCGGAGCGAACTTGAGCTTTATTGTAACAATAAAGGGTTGTCGTGGAGCTGATGCCGTTTGACAGCTCCCTTTTATAGCTGGCTGTCAAATGGCATCAGCCAATAGGAACGGTCTGTGTTCCCGCTGGAAACACAAACCGGACTGAAGACTTCAGCTGTCTTTTCTGAATGCCACACTCCTTTCCCCCAGAACGGAGCATGCGTAATCCTTCAAATAACTCAGGCACGTGCGCAGGCGGCCAGATCTTCTAGGTTCTGATGAAGCTGCTGCTGGAGGAACTTTTCTGCTTGTTGGGCAACTTCTGGTGCCGACGAAACTGGCGTCTCAGCTTCAGGCATCTCTGGGCGAGGGACAGATGGCTGCTCAGGTAGGCTTGCGTTCCTGTCAGATTCGCGGGAAGTTTCTTCGGGCATTGGCGATTTCTCTGTTGCAGGAACGTCTTGAGGGCCATCTGCAGACGAACTCCAATGCCTTCTAAGTTGATCGATATGGCGGCGTCAGATGTGCCCGTCTTGCAGTTGGACCCTGTAAGACTTAGGACCGGTTACCACCACAATCTGCCCAGGCATCCACAAAGGGTGTCCCACATAGTTCCAGGCATAGACCTGGTCATTCTCAGCGAACTCCCTTCCCTGGCTATTTGACCCGAGGGGCGTGACTGGGGCATAATGCGGATGGAGTCTGTCTAGGGTGGTCCTCAGACGCCTACCCATGAGAAGTTCAGCCGGGGGCCTATTAGTGGTGGCACAGGGATTCGTGTGCTGGGTTAGAAGATACTTAGCAAGCCTAGAGTGCCAATCTATGGGCCCAAACTTTTCCAGGACCTCCTTAGCAGATCTGATTGCTCTTTCAGCCAGGCCATTACTGGGAGGATGAAAAGGAGCTGTAAGTGTGTGCCTGATTCCCAGGTTAGCTAGGAAGACCTCAAACTCACAGGGAGTAAACGGGGGTCTGTTATCAGACACGATAGAGTCAGGGAGGCCATGGGTAGCGAATATCCTTGATAGAGCCTTAGTGATGGCTTCTGAAATTGTGGTGGTCATCAAGGTCAACTCTACCCATTTAGAAAAAGAATCAACCATCACCAGGAATGTACGCCCGTGAAAGGGGCCAGTCAGATCAATATGCACCCGGGACCAAGGAGTCCCAGAATCTTCCCACCTGCCTGGAGTGGATGTGGGTGGAGCAGGTCTGGTAACTTGGCATGGCTGACAAGCATTCCCCCAACTTGTAATCTGAGCATCCATGCCCAGCCACCATACATAACTGCGAGCTAGGGCTTTCATTCTGACAATGCCGGGATGCCCTTCATGCAGGACCTTTAAAACTGAGGCTTGCAACTTAGAAGGGATAACTACCCTAGTTCCCCAAAGTAAACAGCCTTGCAAAGAAGACAGTTTTTGCTGGCGCGTTTTAAAAGGCACAAATTCAGGGGCATAAGGAATTGCAGGCCACCCCCTTCCCACCCAGTCAAGGACTTGGGCGATTACCTTGTCCCTGGCAGAGTGGGCAGTGATGGGCGGTGATGGGAAGTTTGGCGGTGATGGGCGGTGATGGGAAGTTTGAGATCGTTGATCAGGAACACAGCATTAGTTGGTGCAGGATCCTCCACAGGAACAGGCAGGGGGCAGCAACTAAGAACATCAGCATGGCAGGGGCTCTTGCCAGCTCGATGAACCAGTGTATAGGAATAGGCAGCCAGAAATAAAGTCCACCTGGTCATCCTTGGACACAAAATCTGAGGAGTTTGTCTATCGCCTGACAGAAGGCCTAACAGAGGCTTGTGATCCGTAACCAACTCGAAATAGTGTCCATATAGAAACTCATGGATTTTTTTGACAGAAGCAGCTACAGCCAAAGCCTCCTTATCAATTTGGCTGTAGTTGCGCTCAGCTGAGGAAAAAGTTCTGGAGAAAAAGGCAATGGGTGCCCCAGAACCATTAGGCAGTCTATGACTTAAAACAGCACCTATGCCAAAAGGAGAAGCATCTGCTACTAAAACTAAAGGTAAATGCTCAATAAATTGGATTAGAACAGCATCGGATGAGAGCAATGATTTGACTTCATGGAAAGCATGGGCTTCCTTAGGTCCCCAGTGCCAGGGGGATTGCTTATCCAAGAGTCTGTGCAGAGGCTCTGTAACGGAAGCTTTATGTGGCAAAAATGAAGCGTAAAAGTTAAGAAGTCCTAAAAAGGCCTGGAGCTCAGTTTTGTTAGTTGATGTGGGTGCCTTGTGAATAGCCCTTACTTTGGATTCAATTGGGTGAATACCAGAGGTATCAATTCTATATCCCAAAAATTCTACCTATGTGGTGGCACTTGCCTTTCTTTAACTTAAGACCATGCTTTCTGAAACGATCGAGAACTCCTCTGACTCTTTGCAGTAATTGAGACTTGTCGGGGCAGATATTAAAATGTCGTCAAAATATAGAATTACACCTGGTAATCCTTGAAGAAGTCTTTCCATTAAAGATTGGAAAACCCTTGGGGCCACACTTACGCCAAATTGGAGGCGCCTACATTTAAAAATGTCCCTGTACATTACAATAGTTTGTCGTTCAGCAGCTGTGTCATCAACAGGAAACTGTTGATAGGCCTGTGACATGTCTAATTTCGCGAAAATGGTTCCTGGCTCAAAAGAATGTAGTAGGTGCTGGATAACAGGGACTGGATAAGTGCTGATTTGTGAATATTTATTCAATGACGTCTGGTAATCTGCACAGATTCTTACGCTACCATCTTTCTTCAGGGGTGTCACTATTGGGGTTTCCCATTTTGCAAAGTCCACAGGCTGTAATACACCCTATTTAATTAATTTGTCAAGCTCCATGTCTAATTTGGGCCGGATTGCAAAAGGTACCCTTCGAGGCTTTAAACGGATTGGTACTGCCTGAGGGTCCAAGTTGAAAGATATTGGGGTTCCTGAATAACAGCCCAGCCACTCGCTGAACACATCAGCATAGTCATTAAACAAGGTGTCCACTTCAGCATTTGTAATAGAGTGGATTCCGCTTATATGAAGGCCAAGGGCAGGGAACCAGTCTAACCCTAACAGGCTAGGGAGGGCACCATCCACTACCACTAAAGGCAAGTGACCTTTAAAATTTTGAAATTGAACAAAAAACTTGCCTTTTCCGATGACTGGGATGGTTCTGCCTTGGTAGTGACGTAGGGTTAACTGGCAGCCGTGAAGCTTCTTCTTAGCCATTCTGGGAAGTAGTTGTTTCAAAGTGCTCCATGAGATGATGGACAGTGCTGAGCCTGAGTCAACCTCCATCCTGCAAGCTTTCCCTTCTATAGAAACAAAAACACTGGTTTTGTTAGAGCCTTTGTTAGTCAGCTTGGCTTGATAGCAGGTAAAACAGTCTTCAACTTGTTTTTGGAAATGTTGGGTTGTCTGAGGCTTTTGGGCAAAAGTCTTTCCTGCTTGACAGATCCTGCCTAAATGACCCTTCCTCTGGCATTTTAGACAAATGGCATTCCTGAACTTGTAGGATGCCCTGAAGTGGTTTTCCCCATAGCTTAGACAAATGGGCTGAGGCCGTGGAGGTAGATTGGGGTTTGGCCTGTTCTCCCTTTGACTGGTTTTTTTTGCTGCCTGAGGCGATTTACATCATTAGCCTCTTCATAGCCTTCTTCTGTGGAGGCTTCATCGTAATGGATGGCTGAGCTGCTCTGGTTAATTGGATTTCCCTGAATTTCTGCTGCTGAAAGTGCTGATAGTTCAGCAGCTTGAGACTCTTCAATTGCTAATTTAAGGGTTAAATCTCCTTTAGCCAATAGACACCTTTGTAGCCTTAAATCCTGACTCCACAAACTAGTTGGTCTAATAACATGTCTTCCAGATAGTCTCTAAAACCACAATGCAAGGCAGCTGTTCGTAGGGCAGCCATGTACCCACTAATAGTCTCTCCCTCAGCCTGAATCCGTCTCCTAAAAGCATGACGCCTGGCAATTCGGGATGGCTTAGGGGAATAGTGGTTGGAAAGAATTTCCTGCAACTCTTCCCATGGAACAGTCTTAATTGAACGTGGAGCCAACAATGCCATAGCAGTGTCAAACACTGTGGCTCCGCAAAAACTTAAAAAGTAGGACTTTTTCCTATGGTCGGAAATGTCAGCGAGGTCTATGGCATCTAGGAAACAGTCAAATCGGTTTCTATAGGATTCCCATGTTTCTGCTGTCGGTCTGAAAGGCGGGAATGCAGGGTTTGAAGTCATCTCGACTCAGCGGTGCCGGATCTTCCGAGGAAAGTTTAAATTCGCGCTCGCGAATAGTGACAGTAAGCTCTTAAAGTGACATTCAGCTCGGTAGTGACTTTGGCTCTTTTTTGTAATGACTTTGCTTAGCGATTCTTTGCCCGGTTGCCTCTTATATGTATCCCACCCTCGTCGCCAGTGTTGTAGAGTGGCAGAATAACCTGAGGCGAATGCAGAGCAAACTTCAGCTTTACTTTATTGTAAAAATAAAGGGTTGCCGCGGCTGCCACGCTAACAAGGAAGCCAGCTGGTGGACAACAGCTGATGCCGTTTGACAGTTCCCTTTTATAGCTGGCTGTCAAACAGCATCAGCCAATAGGAACGGTCTGTGTTCCCGCTGGAAACACGGACCGGAGTGAAGACTTCAGCTCAGTCTTTTCCAGTGGCATCACACAGCCCTTAGGTTTTCTTTTCAGTCATGTGATCTGAGCGGCATATGCATTATCTTGAACTAAGGGGCACCCTCCTCCTTCCGTAGGAGCCTGGAGACGTTGCTCAGCCCGCTCGTCTGAGGACCAAATGGGAGAATTGCACGCTGGGGGTGTGCTGGATTGATGGCAGGTTCCATCTCCTCCCATCTCTGCTCTCCCTCGGTCCATTTATAAATATCTTTAATAATGTCTCCTTAGAGTAGCCTATGGCAAGATAGTGCAGCAAATACATTTGACAAATAAATAATACATTTTCTCTTTCAGTGGTCTGTATGAGAACTCTTCTTTTTAGCAACTAGGAAGAGGTCATCTGCTCTCCACTACCTCAATTGGCCAGCCAGTTGGCAGGAAAACCTGGAATAAGTACCTGCGTCTCCAAAGCAGACCTTGGATGTTGGTATGTTCCTAACACTTTAAGCTATACACGTGTAAGCTGCCTGTAAAGACACCAAGGGTTGCTGAAAAGGTAAGACAGACCCCCACAACTTACATATTGTAACATTTTATGATCAGGAAATGCATACTTGGTGAATAATAGCAGCATAAAAATGCACATGGTTCCAAACGAATCAGTATAGACAAAAGTCATTTTTCTCTAGATTAGAAAATTGTTCCTTAGATAGTTGTATGCCCTACTCACTAGTACACAATGCTTATGCAAATCTGATGTGTCTGTGCCAGAGGGATCCCTCTCTTGACCAAAGTTCAACTCCAAATAAATTGGAAGCCAGGTTTCTTGGCAACACGATCACATTGAACTCTAGGTATGAAATTTATGAAGTTATTATTTCTACATCTTGACAAGCAGTTGGCTACATTCCAATTAATTGGGATGGCTTTGTTCTGGTGTGCTTCATATGGCTCTGAGGTGAACTCTGCATATAGGAGATGCAAGAGAAGGATTTTCTTTGGGACATCTCTGGTATTGTTTGGAAAAGACTAATCTGCTTCCATCTTTGCAATGCAGCTCCTGAGGTTGAAGTTTCCCTCTTAAAAGTTTGAATTTCAGTATTTAAGAAAAGCAAAAGATTTGACTTTAAAAGAAATAGAGAAAATTTGAGGGGGTTGTGAACAGCGTGACTGTTTCCATCAGTATCCTGGTCACCAGAGAAGACATTTTAGAAATTATGCCAAGTGACTTGTGAGATTGTATTCTGTTAAGAAGATACTGGTGAGTGAAGTCTGGTAATAGTGATTTGGCCATCTTCTCATTGCTTGATCTGAATCCTACAAGAAATGTCTGGTATTGCTGTTCCATCCAGTGAGCTTCAAAAGTTAGTTTGCGGAATGTTGAGGGGAGAGTTGTAATGGATTTTTCCCATCATAGATAGAAAGTTCAACAACAACATGTTAATTAGATACAACCAAGGAAGATGATATGATTGGAACAAGTGAAAAACAATAAGGAGACCCATTAATAAAAATATATAGAATAAAAGTATACAGGAGTCTCTCCTGTAGAGTCTTTGATGCTCTGAGCCTGATTCTTTTCTTTCAGACATTACCAAACTACGTAGATAACATCAATATTGCTAGTAAGAAGTGGGATCTCTAGTAACAGTGATTAAGTTACTAGTTTGGTAATGAAATGTCTGAAGGAAAGCAGCCTAGCTTAGAAAATACCAAGGACCCCACAGTTCAATGCTGAGCTACAAATATTGCCTTTTATAGACATTTCTCCCTTAGCTAATCTTAATTTGACTCATTAAACTGAACAAATGTTATTCCTCAAAATGTCAGTGAGCTGAATGGTTAGAGATGAGAGGTTCTGCAGGTAATCTAAAACAGCAGTATGTTTAAAAAAATTGCTGACTTAAGCTTTTGTACCTGTACTTTTTGAATCAGAACCTAATTATTGCAATCTAATTGCATTAAAGCAATATGACTCTGCCCATGATCACCACAGTACAGTATTTATTATTAAAACAATATGAGATTGCTCTTAACATACACGGGATCTTGGAGAGATGGGAGCAAGTGAAGATATGTGGTGCATGATGTAAATACACAAGTGATGTATCAATTTCATGACACAGCTGACTCCTTTCTCAGGATTACATAGATGGAAAAAGGTGAATGTATAATTAATGTTATCAGAGGGGGAAAAGAACATTATAGTGAGCAAATGTAAAAGCTCTTCTGGTGTTTGGGAGATGATACTGTAGATATAATGTTGGTGACAATATTGTAGAGAAAGTGTTGGAGGAAGGAAAACTTTTTTTGTGGCTTCACTTGAATTACTATAGCTGGAGCCCTGCAGGAACATATCTCTGGCAGACTAAAATATGGTTTGAGCTGATCAAATCCCATTGGAATCAGGGGAAAATCCACAAAGGCTTAGGGTGGCACAAAATAACTTTTGCCAAGAAATATGGAATTTGTCTTGAAGAATCTAAGAAGTGAGACAACCTGGGTTGAAAATTAATTTGACCTGGTAATTAACATTCTAATTTGGCATGAGTTTTAGTTAGAACCATTCCAGCTTCAGGTGAAAGGTTGAGTCTTCATATACCTGTAGACATACTACACAATGTCTGTATATTCTATATTCTTACTGAAACAGAAAATGCTGGATGTTGGGAAATGGCCATTATTTGCTCTCCACTCTCAAGAAGAATTGAAGTTAATTCATCAGGTTTGCGTATTTGGCAGTGCTGGCAATGAAGCACTTTATGCAACTGAAAATGATGAGGTAACTTTTGAAGATATAACAGTGAATAATAACTGTTTGTCTTGGTATTGACTTTAACTTCAGTTGTTTATGATTCCATACAAATCTAAAACTTAACATGCCAAGAATCTTTGCGTGCACATCTGTTTTAAGATTTGGAAGGCATGAGACTTCTCTGCCTTGCTTAATATGTAGCTTTTCCCCAGGTCTAACACAAAAAAGAATAAATATACAATATTGTACATCTGTTAAATAAGCCCCATTTGCATGTTGTTTATTATAATTTTTGGGTTTTCTTGATGTACACTTTTGGTTTCCTTTAGGACAGAATACATAAGGATGGCAGAAATTTGACTAAAATATATATCCTCAAATGTGTAAACTCAAAATTCACTATAAATACATTTTGGGTATTTTTAAATATTTTAATTATATATGCTTATAAAAGTATTTTGGTACTGACAGTATCATTATGTAATAGGTTTTTGCTTTAGGCACTAACTGCAGCGGATGTTTAGGAATTGGTGATGTACAGAGCAACATTGAACCTCGAAGAATAGATATTTTATGTGGCAAAAAATTAGCTTCCCTCAGTTATGGAAGTGGACCTCATGTTGTTCTGGCTACTACTGGTATGTTATGTGGTTCTAGCTATGGTTATTTTATTAATATATTCCGTTTGTTCTTTCTTTTGAAAATAATATTAAGAAAAGAAAGCAAAAAAATTCTGGGGAGATGCTGAAATTACTTTTCTTTAACTGATAAAGTAGATGGAATTAGGTAATTTTACTTAAAGCTTAGCTGTTAGAATAGTACATGGAACTGATGTACAAATACTCCTTGACTTGCACTTAAAATTTGGACTGTAATTTCTGTTGCTAAGTAATGCAATGATTAAGTGAGTCACACCCTATTTTATTACTTTTATGCTGTGGGTATTAAGAGAATCCAGTTTAGCCCATTGACTTGTCAGAAGCCCCAAGAAGGTTGCAAGTGACAATCATGTAACCCTGGGAGACTGCAGCCATTGTAAATATATTGGTGCTGTTAAGTGCCTGAACTTTAATTGTGTGAATGCTGCATGAGTTGTAAGTATGAGGACTGGTCATAAAATCATTTTTTTCAACACCATCATAACTTCAAACAGTCGAAAAACAAATGGTCATAAGTTAAGAACTACTTGTAATAACACTTAGCAATTTGCTTTTAACATGGTTAAAAAATATTCAAAATTTGTAATAATACAGAACTTGGATGACAGGTAAGCTTTCTGAATTTTAGGATATATTTGTTCTATAGCTGTACATATTCATTAAATGTTACAAAGCATGAAAAATGAGATTTGTTTCTACCTCAAAACGTATCAAAAATCAAGCAAGTCTGTACAATCTGACTACTGTAGATTCTACAAAGTTACAAATATTGTTTCTGTTTGCCCTGGAGTTTTTGTCAATAGGAGATACTGAAAATAACATTATTTTGTTATAGTCCCTCTTTATAGATTTGTGTAAATTAGATTATATATATGTGCTTGGATATAGCAGCATGGTATTAGATGGGATATAAACAACAACAAAAAATTGATTGAATATAATACATATAATGAGATAATAGATTGGACTACAAAAACATTAGGGAATGGAAAAAAACAATATAGCAGTATCCCAAGAAGATTTTTTTTCTAGAGAATTAATTTTGTATCCAAAATCGCCGCCGCCACCTCCTCCCCCTCCTCCCGAGCGGACTGAAAGCAGCTGGGGCTGAGGAAACGAAGC